CCCGGCACCTCCACAAGCCACGTTCTCTCCAGGTCTATTCCGCAGAGGCTTTGCATTTCGGGCATGCTCTCTGCCCACCCCACCCTCATCTTAGATCCTGAGAGATGTTAGGCAATAGGAAAAGATAAGTTTTAGAAATAATTTCCAAAATCAAAGACAATCACTCCTGTCGTGGCTCTATTCCCAAGTATCTCTAGTGCCCCATAAACCTCCATGAGAAGCCGGGCGGTGGTGGCGCACGCCTTTAATCCCAGCACTCGGGAGGCAGAGCCAGGCGGATCTTTGTGAGTTCGAGGCCAGCCTGGGCTACCAAGTGAGTTCCAGGAAAGGCGCAAAGCTACACAGAGAAACCCTGTCTCGAAAAACAAAAAAAAAAAAACCTCCATGAGAGACGAGAAAATCCTGAGGCAAGAAGAGACTGAAGCAAGCCGGGCGTGGTGGCGCACGCCTTTAATCCCAGCACTCGGGAGGCAGAGCCAGGCGGATCTTTGTGAGTTCGAGGCCAGCCTGGGCTACCAAGTGAGTTCCAGGAAAGGCGCAAAGCTACACAGAGAAACCCTGTCTCGAAAAACCAAAAAAAAAAAAAAAAAAAAGAAGAGACTGAAGCAGCACAAGCTGAAAACCCACTGTCTCGGCCAAAGTCATTCCTGTTTCTAGATCCCAAAGACAGACACGGTTTTCTGTCTCTAAAGTTTCCCCGAGCAGCACTGGGCGAGGAGGATGCCTGGAGCCCCTGTTTTTAATTAGCTGGTTCCTTAAATTTCATTCTCATTTTGCTTTTTATAAAAAACATAAGCAGCACAAAGTTTGGTTTTTGTAATTGCTGCAAACCTCAAAGCTCCGCTACTTGGAATAAAGCAACTGAAGAAAACTCTGTTTTCTGACATGCAAACAGTTATTACCTCTACTGGCGACAATAAAGAAAACTTAGCTCTTACGTAATGCCCTTTGTGATCAAACAGAGTCTAAAATTAAATTGGAAAGCAGGCTTGGTGGCATGTAGTCCTAGCACTGAAAAGGCTGAGGTGGGAGGATCTCCTGGGTCCAGAGGGTCCAGATCAGCAAAGGCAACGCAGCAAGACCCAGCCTCGGGATACAACAATAAAAAGTAAAGCAGGACTCAGCTGGTAGAGTGCTTGTCTTTAAGCATGCAGGCCTGAGTTTATTCCCCAGAACCCATGTCTAAAAAAGTAAAAACCAAAGAAAAAAAGAAAAGTACCTGGGTGTAGTGGCACATGCTTGTTATCCAAAAAGAGACAGAAACAAGCAAATCCTTGCAGTTCAATGGCCAGCTAGCCTAGCCTTCTTAGTGAGTTCTTGGCCTGAAAGACCCTGTCTCCAAAAAAAAAAAAAAAAGGGCTCTGTGCCCTCAAACTGATCCCTCACGAATTTCCACCATGATGGGCTCTATGCCCTTAAGCTGGTCCCTCATATATTTCCACCATGATGGACTCTACACCCTCAAGCTGCGGCCAACACAAACCTTTCCTCCCTTAAGTTGTTCCGTTTCTGTTGTAGAATATTATTTTAAGGTATATTACTTTTGTTTATGTTGCATTTGTTTTTAACTCTGCCAAGCTGTTACTGTGTCTGTCTAAAACACCTGATGGTCTAATAAAGAACTGAACGGCCAATAGTGAGGCAGGAGAAAGGATGGGCAGGGCTGGCAGACAGAAAGAATAAAGAGAAGGAGAAATCTGGGAGAAAGCGAAAGAAGGAGCCAGAGAAGGAGGAGCATTCCAGGGTCCAACCACCCAGCTACACAGCAAGCCACGGAGTAAGAGAGTAAGATTTACAGAAGTAAGAGAACAGAAAAAGGCCAGAGGCAAAAGGTAGACGGGATAATTTAAGAAAAGCTGGCAAGAAACAAGACAAGCTAAGGCCAGGCGTTCATAATTAAGAATAAGCCTCCATGTGTGATTTATTAGGGAGCTGGGTGGCAGACCCCCCAAAAGAGCAAAAGAGTAAAATCAAAAACAACAAAAAAAAAAAAACAATACATGTTAGGTATTTGGTTCAAAGTAAAGAGAAAACTAATACAATGATATTGAACAATTTGTCAAATCCTTAAACTTTACAATGCCAATAGTCAGCACTAAAGTAAACTATGAATTTTAAGCAATAAAGATGTGTTCATGTAAATTGGAAACAAAAATGACTGACATCACCTGAGAATGCCTGACAGTGTCCTCTGCTTCCATGCTCACATGTGAACATGTACTTATACACCCTCAGCGCTGACATTTACAAAACAAATTAATTAGCTTCAGGATCTAGTTCAGCTACATTTCTCCATGGTTAACAGCTACAGAAACATTCTCAAATAATGAAAAAAAATGCCAACATACATTCATGGTCAAAACTTTCATATTTGATCACTGTAAAATTAAATCTTTGGTCACATTTCCAAAGAATTCTAAAAACTAGCAATGACCCATATTTAAGATTATTCACTAGCTGAGGGGCAACTAACACTAATGACCTTTAGAAAAACCCTATGGAAACCTAAGTACTATAGAAGCTTCCTTAGAGACAAAGACAGAGACTGGGAGAGGAAAGAGTTTAAATGAAGTCACCATATAATAGAGGGATTGGATGAAGGGACACAGACATAGTGCAATGCCCTGCTAGATATCACAGGTTAGGAAATAAAAACCTCAGTGCCAGAAATGGGTATCTCTTGTGTGGTTGATATACTGTGCAACCCAATAAACTTATCTGGGGTCAGAGAACAGAACAGCCACTATATTAAACATAGAGGTTAGGCAGTGGTAGCACATTCCTTTAATCCTAGCATTCCAGAGGCAGAGATCTATCCAGATGGATCTCTGTAAATTCAAGGCCATACAGGAAACAGAGCCAGGCATGGTGACACACACCTTTAATCCCAGCACTTGAGATTTCATGTCTTGCTTGGGAAAGGTAGCACATGCCTTTAATCCCCGGAAGTGATGGCAGGAAGCAGAAAGGTATAGCAGGCATGAGGACCAGGAACTAGAGGCTTTTTAAGCTTTTAGGCTTTTGAGCAGCAGTTCAGCTGAGATCTATTCCAGATGAGGACTCAGAGGCTTCCAGTTCGAGGGAACAGGATTGGCTGAGAAGTGGCCGAGGTGAGGTTGGCTGTAGCTTGTTCTATCTCTCTGATCTTTCAGAATTCACCTCAATATCTGGCTCCTGAGTTTTTTATTAATAAGACCCTTTAAGATTTATGTTACATATGACATGTATATACTTCATATATAATAACTATTAGCTATTAAAATAACTGTTAAAAGATATATGAATATATATAACTAAAAATTTGCATGTACATATATTTTCCCTTTTCTAAAGCCAGAAGCTGTCTTGAAAAACCAAAAAAAAAAAGAAAAATATATATATATTATAAAATTTATAAAATACTCTTTTAAAAAAAAATGTAGATCTATTTATTTTAAATCTTTTTTTTTTTTTTTTTTTTTTTTTTTTTTTTTTTTTGATAGGGTTTCTCTGTGCAGCCTT